CAATTAAAGTATTTTGTTGTTAAAAAAAATTACACAGGAATCTATTCAATATTATGAGAAATTTGTTAATTACATATTAACAGCAATCATGTAAATAAATTAAATTAAATTATGAGGCTAGCTTTTTTAAATTAAACAAATAAATTAAATTATGAGGCTAATTTTTTTAAATTAAACAAATAGTATGGGTATCAATTTTAAATAAAAAATTTAACAATTTTACTGATATTACCCAATACCCACAAAACAATAATCCAAATAATGAGTAACGTCCTAAATATAAAATTATTAATTTGATTCTTTTAGCATATATTATTTTATTAGTGTGAATTTTATAAATTATACAATTTGAATTAATATTTAAATTAATTTATATAAAAATAATATAAATCAAAATATAAAGGTAAAATGGTAAATTGATTATTACTATCCCTCTCCTCCCTCTCTTGAACCAAACAAGAAATCATTAGATATCTCCCTCTCTTCCTTTTTAATCAAACCAAATAAGGCGAGGTTAAAACCTCCCCTCCCCTCTTCTCTCTTCAAACCAAACACACCCTTAGTTGAGACTTAAATATAAGTTTTCCCAATATATTTATTAGACTTTTGTTTGGATTGAACATACAAATGATACCAAATTTCAACATAAGAGGAGCAAACTATAACTTATGCTCATTGTATGATTTGTTTTAATTTTACTATTATTCTATCATCACTTAAAAAATTGTTATTTACAGAATTAATTAATATTGATTAATACATTATTTATTTAACTAGCGTCTTTATTTTGGTAAACAAAATTTATTTCACTAGATCCAGTAGTTTATTATGTTATAGTAAATGAATTTGTAGCCTTTAATTTTGAGAGGAAAATTATATGCTAGAATGTATCTTAATATATTTGAATCCAAGCCACTGTGTATTAGCAAATTCATTATGACAGACTAAGAGGAGTTGGGTTTAGTGGAAAGAGATATCTTTTACAATATGGGAAATTTATTGAAAGAGTTGTTCACATTAAAATCTGAACTATGTCTTGATTAAAAAATTGTCTCAAATAAGAGAATAATATAAAATCTCCTCCTAGTCCTCATAATATAAGCACGCAAAGCTAATTACTATTTTATAAAGGGAAAATGACAAATAAAGACCCCTAATATGTGAAATTACAATTTTGGATCTTCAATTTGAAAAATGGCAAATAAAGACCCAGTCTCATTGCAAATATGAAATCTTAGTGAAATGCCTGAAATGCCCCTCGGCTAAGTGACAAGTTGACTATAGGAAATAACAGGTTCACTTTAGCGAATGACAACTTCAGCAAACTAAATCACAACTTAGCTGAGGGTATGCCAAATAACAAGTTGACTATAAGAAATGACAAGTTCACTTTAGCTAATGACAATTTCAGTAGACCAAATTATAACTTGGCTGAGGGGCATTTTAGACATTTTATCAAGATTTCATATTTGCAATATAGGATCAGGTCTTTATTTGTCATTTTCCAAATTAAAGGTCCCACATCACAATTTTACATATTAGAGGGTCTTTATTTGCCATTTTTCCTTTTATAAAAAACCTAGGGGTGATAAAATTTTTGGTATCTAAAATTGAGGCATATTTTTGTTTTGGTATTTCAAATTTTAAACCTGTGTTTGAGTCCCTGAAATTTAGTCTGTATTAAAATGTTAAATCCTAGAGGTGTAACGGTATTAAAATTTATTGAAGCATAATAAATAGAGTTAAAGTGATAATGTAGATTCAATAGATGACACCTAGCTAGATCTTGTGTGGATAACAAGGGGGAAAAAAAGAACATGTCTTTAGAACACAGCTGTTTAGCCCTTCTTTTCTTCCTTGCTGTTCATTTGAGGAATTGTTTACCATGCTATGTTTTAAGAATTCATCTCTACTGTTCTTTATATTGTGTTTGGAGGACCTTTTTTTTTTTTCTTTTTATCCACATAAGATCTAGTTAGATACTATTTGGTGAGTCCATGTTATCGTTTTAATTTAATGCCATTTACAATATTTTAGCATATTTTAGCACTATTATACCTCTAAAGACTAAAACCATAAGTTTGAAATTTAAGACATCAAAATTAAAATGTACCTAAACTCTAGGGAATGAAAATTACATTATCCCAAAAAATATAATCAATATAAAATATTACAAATTCCTATCAGCACGGAAGCATCTTGTCTTGGTGGTTGGAGCGTCTTATGGTTACTTCGTTGACTTCCTTTGAATCAGGTGTGCTTTTTATTTACGGTATATGGATTCCATCCATCTAAGCCCTATTAATATTAAGAGTTTCTCAATCATTTTCTAATATTTAAATCCCATTAAAGTAAGTGAAAAATGTTTAATATGTAAAGACAAAGTTGCATAAAAGTTCTAAAACAAGTAAGAATATATTAAAATTTAATTACGTAATTGAACATCATTTTATATTTCATCAGCAAATGAGTCTTGATTATTTATTTCTATTTTTTATTTTTATTAAGAAGAATATAAAAAATTGGAGAATTTGGCATTACTCACGCAATTTTGCGGAAGTAAGGTACATGCCCATAGTTGATTGAAAAACATAACATAATAAAATATAAAAAATCTGATATAAATATTTATACACACACATATTGCTATCCTCAATGATAATATAAGTTGGGTCAGTAAGTCAACTTCCTAACTCATCACAGAGTGACGGGTTGGGGTTGAAAAATTGAACCCACTTTAAAGCAGGTATTTTTTAATTTCAATTTTAATAAAAAATTGAGTATTATTTTGCGCTTAAGTTAAAGCAGCCTTGTTTTATATTTGAAACTTAATTCCATGTTTGATTTCTTTTTTTATTAATTTATCATCTTTATATTGATAAAATAATTATGTAAAATAAATTATATGTTTATATTTGCAAATTTTGAGACTAATTTAATTATGTGATTTTATGAAAATATAGAAACAACTAGAATTTTTCTGTCTATAAAAAATAAAACTTAATTTAAAAAATTTAAAATTTGAAAAAGAGGGTTGGCTAGTGGCTTGTCAATCCCCTTTTAGGGTCTGTTTGGTTTGAGGGGAGGGTAGGGTAGGGGAGTGGAGGAGAGGGGAGGTTTCATCCTCACCTTGTTTGGTTTGATTAAAAAGGAGAGGAGGAGAGGATATTTAATGATCCCTTGTTTAGTTCAAGGAGGGGAAGGGAGGGATAGTAATAATCAATTTACCATTTTACCCTTACATATTAGTTTATGTTTTTTATTGATATATTATATAAATTAATTTACATCTTAATTTAAATCATATAATTTAATAAAAATTTAGTCTTATCATGTTAATATGTGTATTAAAAAATTGGTACAGTAATTTTCTATTCTAATTAATATAATAATATATTTAAAATAATCAAATTAACAAATTTTATATGCTCTAAGAAAAATGAAATTTTATTCTCTTTAGGCTATCTTTTTTTCCAGCTTTACAATATATTTAATAAATAATATATTTATAAAAAACAATTAATTTTATAATATTATAATTTTTTATTTAAATAATTTTTTATAATATATTTTTAATTATAATCATGTATATATTTTTTATTTTTTTACTTAGGATAATATATTTTTTATTTGAAATAAATATTATAATAATATATTTTATGGGTAGAAGTGGAATATTAAAAAAACTATAAGGGCATAATGGTCCAAAAATTTGGCTCTCCTCCAAAAACCCCCAATTTGGAGGGGAGCCAAAATGGGGGGAGGGAGGGGGGAGGGGAGGGGACATTTTAGCTCCCCTCCCCTCCAAAATTTTTAACCAAATGAGGGGAGGGGCTCATTTTCCCTCCCCTCCCCTCCCCTCCCCTCCCCTCCAACCAAACACACCCTTAGTGATATGAAATAGGTTAATTTTAGCCTGCTATGCTAGCTTACAACCCGTGAGTTGACCTGTATTACTATCTTTGTTTTAGTATATGTAAAACTTTCACTTCTTTTATTTCTTAATTTTTTTAAAATTATTTTGTTTTCCCTTGAGCAATGATAATTTACCTTTTTTTTTTAATTTTATACCGCACTAATTTTTTTAATGTTGAAATCTTTTTTTTTTTTTGGGTAGGCACAGATATTTTTCTATTTGAGTCAATTCTGTTCGAGATAGTGTCAAGTACTAAATGTGAGCTCATCTCATAGTGAGGATTCAAACCTTAGTTTACCATGTTGTGAGAGAGTAGTCCTTACTGCTAGACCCAACTCTTGTTGGTTAATATTAAATCTCATTAAAAGGAATTGAAATAAAGTTGCATGCCACATAACTATATATGTGAAAAAAAAAAGTCAGCACTTAGATATTATTTTTCAATTGCATCTAATACTCTAATTTTATTTATGGGTATCCAGTATTTTGATTTTTTTTTTTTTTGCATCCATAACCCCAATAGAAGATGTACTATAAATAATATTAGGACGCTAGATGCACATGGAAAATAATATCAGTTATGCTACTTCACCCCAAATTGTTTTTTCAAAAAACCATCGCACATGAATCCGAGAGAGCTATTTAAACAATAAGAAAAGATACTGATAGATACTAAGAGGAGTCCTGTTGTCCATATTTTACGAATCATATAACTTCCTATATATTTTATACACACACTTGGCTCACACCACATATTTTATATTCATTTTGATTATATTATTATTTTTTTTAAAAAAATAAACATCTTTAGATAGAGATTCAAACATAGGATTATGAACAGAATAATAAATTTATAGTCAAAAGCTTTGATAAATTTCTGGTTTGACGCAAGACTGCACTCTGAGAAATGTTCTCACCAACCAAATACCAACCTCAAGTAATTCAATCGGTTAGACCATCCAAAGATTTTACAGAAACAACTTACTTTCCTTCTTAGACCTGATTAACCCATTTGGCTCATCAATCGCACTTCTTCTTTATTTATATATAATCATCTTCTTCTTCATCTTCTCTTAATAATCATATAGTTCTTCGATCAACACCAACAATGGCTTCATCAAATGCAGAAAAGACAGAGCTGATGAACAATAGTAGTGTGAATAACGTGACGATGATGTCGCCGAGGAAGACGAAGGGAAAGAGATCAGATTGGGTTCTTTTGTGTTTGAGGCTGCTTGCAGTTTTGGCGACTGCTTCTGCCACAATTGTGATGGCTCTCAACAAACAGACCAAATCCTTTGTGATTGCCACCATTGGTAACAATCCCATCAAAATTTCTATAACCGCTAACTTTCATCACACTCCAGCTTTTGTGTAAGTCCCCCTACCACTCACTCATTCATATATAACTGCTATGTCATATATATTAGAAGCATTGCATATATATTCAGGGCTACTCAACAAATATGGGCACTTTCTAAAGTGGGTTATATATAACTCTTATATATAGCTATTCACAACGTTCATGTACTGCTGATTCCATGAATTGTACGGTTCCTCATGTACAGAATTAGTTTCAGTGCTCATGAGCATCATGATACTCATCAAATCTAAACCATTGAAAATTAATGTGGATGACCAAGATTTCATATTTAATGTTTTTGTCTTTTTAAAAATAGTTTTTTTATAGGTACATAATCCAAAATAAATGTGATATCTTAACTATAAGTTTTATTAAAATATAATTTTTATTTAAAAATCACTAGTTAAAAATTTTAAGTTTAGACCATTAAAACTATATCCCAATAATTTATATTTTACCGTAGCGATAAATATCATGGTACTCATTGAAAACCAGTTCCTAGTTTCACACATACATATGAAACTTCAAGAATGAAAGTATATGAAACCATATGTCTAGCGTGTTGTGTGAATTTCAAGGCAACTGAAAAGTATGTTATGACTTCTTATAATAATAGTGTGATGACTTTCATTAATTAACTCTTATATCTATATTGATGATTAATGGCTAACTCTTGTATTGATTTAAGGAAAAGTCAGTTCCTCACTCTTTATGGTTTTATCAGACTTTTAATTACATTTTTGTATTGTTTTTTTTTCTTTTAATGGTTACTCACAGTTTCCTCGATTATATACATGAGTCCTGATGATCGTAATAAATTGATTATGGCTTATATGGATAGTAACTAAGTGATATGTAAGTTATCATAAAATACAAAATAATAAAAGAGGTTTTTAAAAATAAAATGATGAAATATAATTTATTTATTATCAACATAAAATAAAAATATACTAATAAATTTCTCCTTGCATCTATGTATAATCTATAATCTTGTTGATTTTTATTTTATTAGATTTATGTGGCAAAATTAATCTAGGTGTATATTGAGTGAGAACCACATTACCATCAGGTATCAGCTACAAGCGTCATTTCTCTTATAAATTGACAAATTATGATTATTTGGTAAAAAAAAAAAACTTATGATTATAGGACCAGTATATATATGTGAGAAAATGATAAGAACACAATAAAAGAAAAAGTTTGCAAAGACTTAATTAAAAATGAGCTGAAATTATAGTAACTTACCTATTAAATTTCTATTTATTATTTTAATGATTTGTAACATGGTATAACTTAATATAAGTTTTATATTTTGTATTGACATGAATCATCTTTAATTGTTTTACAAATCTTAGGGTCAGAAAACTGAAAGTGTATATAATTTGAAGAAGCGGATATTCTTACGTTTATCTATGGCTGAGATTATGTTGCCTACGTATGGTGGGGACAGGTTCTTTGTGATAGCCAATGGAAATGCATGTCTGCATAATCTGGTGATGATAGCAGTGGACTTACTTGGAAGCCAATTTGATTACAAAGGACTCAGGCTTGCACTAATTGCAATACTTGACATGGTACATATATTCAAATTTTATTAAATTAGATATTTTTTGTTTGCTGGGCAATATGGAATTCGACTAGTTATATAGTTTATAATTATAAAATAATGGGGATTGATAGAAATTATATATACAGATTTTTCTCAAATTTTATTGATATTATATATTATATTACTTGTTTTTTATACTTTAAATATATACAAAATTTAGGAAAGGGAGAATCCAAAAAAAAAAAAAACACCTTTGAATTACAAAATTCCAAATCATTCTTATTTACCACACTTCAATAATAATTAACAATATTTGAAAAGTAAATGACAACACATCTTTATTTTCATTCATGATTTGGAACTTTAAAATTTCAGAGGTATTTTTTTTTTTTGGATGTTTCCTTTAGGAAAGATCCATGAAACTCACTTCTCAATTTATAAAAATTGTGTGAATTTAATTAAAATGAGGAAAAATCTTTCAATTGTTTTGTCAAAAATATTTTTTAAACAATTTGTATTTTAGTACAAAAATACAATTTGGTTTAATCTAAGGCAAAAAAAACCTTTTTATTTCAGTTGAAAAATTTATTTGACATTTATTTCCATTCAATTTATTTCAGTATTTCATGTCTCTAATGTGTATGATTTTCACTTCAAGTCATACCTTTTTGACAGATCCAAATACTTCTTTAGCAAGTCCTCATTGATATTTGAAAATTTTCAAGATTCCTACCTTAGCAGTTATATATAGTCTATAGAAAAACGTATTTTTCATAAATCACGAAAAATACCACTCATGTCGCTATGTTTTATGCAATAAAGATGGTCATGGCCCTAGCAGCCGCCGGAGATGGTGCAGCAACGTTCATGTCGGAGTTAGGGAAGAATGGCAACTCTCATGCAAGGTGGGACAAAATCTGTGACAAATTTGAAGCTTATTGTCACCGAGGCGGCGGCGCCCTTGCCGCATCCTTTGCCGGCATCCTTCTCCTCCTCATTATCACAGGGATGTCCATCATCAAACTACTCAAGCCAAATCGCATTAACGATATTGTTCCATGATTATATATGCCTTTTGTGTTGAGTTTGTTTAATGTTTGGCTAGCAAAGCTTGATCTCTGTAATTAGTTGTGCAAGAAGCACTAATAAATGCGTGTGTGGCATTATTGCTACTTAATTAATGGGCTGTTTTTTTCACCCTTATAAAGTTCCCATGCTAGGCTTAGACCTTATCCAAATAAATTAAATCACAATTTGGCACCCATGCCGTGCTTTTTTTTTTGGAATTACTTTTATTTTAAACAGTTAATAATTTGGTTTATAAATTTCTGATTTGATAATTCGTTAAAGAAAATAACAAATAATAAGTTCGTATTTAACATGTTATAGTTGCATAATTTTTTTAAAATACTTTTGAGGTATATGCAGATAGCATTGTCATCTAGAACTTGATATAACAAAACTCCTATAAAATTTTAAGTTTACACAGACTTTTCTTTACCCTTGTTAATTTTATTCAAGTAGGATAGTGAGTAATGGACTTTTTAAATTATAGTTTTTGTATAAATAATCTACATATATTTTTATGACTATATGTGCATATGACACATCTATTATATATAAATAATAGTTAAGGTACAATTTTGTCCTGAAAGTTTTCACTCAGAAGTGTTAGGTACCCAAAATTTTTTCTTGGTGTGCCTTGATATATAGTTTAAAATTATAGCAATATTGTTCCTTATTATTAAAAATATTAACACTCAACATTATTATTTTAATGGCCAACGATAGTTAAAACAGTATGAAGCAATATTGTTATGAATTTTCAAAAAAAAAAAATCAGATGCCTAGTGTTATTGAGTGAAAACTTTGAAGTAAATTTCTACCTTAATCCAAAGTTTGGAATAAGAAATTAAATTTCCTTTTGACGTAGCAAGAAAACACACCCCTTCTTCTAGCACATAACATTTTAAGGGATAATTCTAGATATTTTAGATGACCTTTAATTAAAGAGTAACCTTTAGGATAAATTTTAAAAGAATTTGGAATAGGAAAACCAAACTGAAAACTGTCAAAATTACTGATTATAACCAAGGATTAGATTGGTGTAACTGGTTGTTGTGAAAATAGTGCATTTTTAAATCCTAGGATTGGATAGAAGCCCTAAAAATCGAATTAGACCTTTTTTCAAATCTTGTCATGAACTTCAGGTTTTGTCACGACAAAGCATACCTGGCCTTTGCCCTAGTGAGACATCAGCCTCACCATGGCAAAAGGCATAAATCACTGTTGTTTCTTTTTCCCCTCCTGTTCTATGATATGAAACTCATGAATGACAGAGATATGAAGTGTTATTGTATGTTTTTATCTTTCCATTATGATTTGACATGAACTGAACCCCTAATGACTCTATCAATGATAAGTTTCATTTTTTTATATCATGGTTATGCGTAAAGCCTAACCTTTGATGCTAAGTATGGTAAGGTTGTTATTGGGTGTTATATTTACTCCTTAAACGTGTCATTCAGCTCCTAATATCTTGTATAGGATTAGGGGCTCTAAATGTAGGATTTGGAGTAGGCTTTTCATTCCTATTAGGATTGAAACAAAAATTAGAGAATACCTTTAAAAACACAACAAGTAATCTATTTGGGATCCAAATGTGTTCATATGTATAATCATGAGTGGGATAAGGCACTTTTGAAACCTAAAACATACAAGTTCTAATAACCAATAGTCACTACCTATATCATAAACCATACAAATAACATATGAATTTCATTGCATATCATTCCTCAAATTGCTATTTCATTGAGATATTTCAATATATGCCAAAGTCCATATCACCATCTTGGTCTCAGTCCAAGTTACAAACTTCTAAAAAACATGATCCACAATTATAAAGACAATAAGATTTAGAAAAAGTTGAATATAATATGTAATAATGAGTGTCTAAAAAAGCCCTAAAAATTTAACAATGTATATCATTTCGAGCATAGGAAATAAAAATCAGGTTATACAAATATTATAAAGACTTTCAAGTCTTGAGTGCCTTCTCCTTAGAACTGAATTAGAATCCTCACATGAAAATACTAAGAAACCACATAATGAGACACAAGATATACAAATATGCAAGGACAGTTATAAGACAATTAAGTGGGTCCATTGTGATAAAATAGCTATTACACACGTAATCTATATTTTTCAAATCATAACTAGTCAATCTTGAATTCTAATACATGACATACCACAATCTTCCCTTGCTTATGTGTGTATATATACATCCTCCTTGATGTTAGATTAGGTTTTGTGGATATTCCTTGAGATTGTAGGGAAGATTATGTTATTTATTGTAAATATTATTTTTTTTTGTAGATATTAGGGTATTTACTATGATCTGATTATATCCTCCATATCTTCTTCCATAATCCTCGGCCTTCTTATTATTGGCCTGATCTCAATTCTCTTCGAGTATATTCATACATGGTTGAATGAGAATAACAAGATTGAATCGTATCCCACAGTGTCCTTCATGGTATTAGAGCTTTCAAAGGACACCTATGATTCATTTGAAACACAAGAGGAGTTAAACTTCGGCCAACATCTTCCCCACTAATGGCAACTGGTGTTGAGGGATCCTCCGGTTTGATTGGGTCCTATCCCCATAGGTCACGAGACCTCATATGTTATCATCCTCGAGCGTCTCACCAGTGATATCATCAATAGTGGGTCCAATCTATGTCACTCGTTCTCGCTGGTCGATGTATACTAAGTTATATCTTTGCCGACACAAAGCCCCTTTATCCTCAAAAACAAAGTCTGTCACTGTCTAGCAAGTTGAGAATGCTTTGGTCTCCTCTTGTTGGTGAATGCTATGTCGCCGGCTATTAAAAGGAGTTTCATGTTTCTTCCTAGTGCTTGTGACATATGGGAAGCTGTTCGATAGGCATACGATGACAGCGGCAACATCTCCTAAATTTTTGAGATCAAATCCAAACTTGGTAGGTCAAATAGGTCCTTCGTTCTCTTAATGATTATTATCTTGAAAAATATGCCTTGTAGTAGGAATTAGACTCCCTCACTAATCCGGTCCATCATTGTACAGTTAATGCCATTGAAGCCCATAAAGAAAAGGAGATCGAGAGGTTGTTTGAACTCTTTGTGGGTCTTCATCCAGTTTATGATGATCTACGAGCCTGTCTTTTTAGTCAAAACCCACTTCTATCTGTCTGAGAGGCATTTGCTATGCTTTGAAAGAAAGAATCTCAGCAGATAACCATTGTGAAAGAGGATCATCCTCCTCCAACTCCCACTGCTGAGCACTTTGCTCTTGCTGCTCGATCAACTGAGCAGTGTCCTCCTAAAGTACGACCTACCTGTGAACACTGCAAGAAGCAAGGGCATACCAAGAACACTTGTTGGGATCTTCATAGCAAGCCCTAAGATTGGAAACCGAAAAAGGGACATGGTTGTGGTTATGTTGCTGAAAAAACTATTGACCCTATCTCTGCTAGTGATCAACTCAGTAAGATTCTGGAGGTATTTACGTCTATCCAAACCACCCAATAGCCTCGAAAGCAACCGGTAGCAAAGAGGTAACTTTTCTAGGCCTTAACTACCATTAAGAACAAGTGCACAGGTCTATGTTGGATTGTTGACTTTGGTGCGTCAAATCATATAACTGACAAGCACGACTTATTTACCACTTATGCACTAGTTACTACATATATTATGGTTAAAATTACTGATGATTCTAATGCAATTGTCGCTACTATTGGCACAGTTAAAGTTTCTACCATATTGACTTTTCATTCAGTTTTACATGTCCTAAATCTCAAGTGCAGTTTACTCTCTGTCAGTCAATTAGCTAAGGAAAAACGTTTTCATGTTAGCTTCTTTGCTCATATTGTTTATTTTAGGACTGCTGACGGGGGAGACGATTGGTAGTGTGTATGAGTCTGACAGTCTTTATTACATGGATACTGGTGAACCTCACCATCTTCGATCTTGTAATAAAGCGTCTCTCCCTAGGAATAGCGATTTGGACTTATGGCATAAACATTTAGGACATCCGAATAGCAATTACATGTCTTAATTGTTTCCTTCTATTTGTTCAAATAAAAATTCATCTGACTTTTATTGTGATTCTTACAAGAAAGCCAAACATCATCACACTTTCTTTCCCCATCTTCTGTACAAAGTATCTAAACTATTTACGACTATCCACAGTGCCTTGTGGGGTCCTTCTCACACCTTGAATCGTACAAAAACAAAATGGTTCATCACATTCATTGATGATCACACGTGTGTAAGTTGGGTCTATCTCATGAAAGACAAAAATGAGGTTTTGCAAATCTTTATCAATTTTTATACCATGATTTAAAATCAATTAATACCCAAATTCAAATCCTCCACATGGATAATGGCACATAATACTTTAATAAAAAAACTCTCTAATTTCTACACTTCCATGGTATTATTCACCGAAGCACCTGCCCTAATAGTCCTTAACAAAATGGTATTGCTAAACGGAAAAATCGTCACCTACTTGAAACGGCCAGAGCTATATGTTTAGTAGCCATATTCCTAAATGCTACTAGGATGATGCCATATTCACTACTGCCTTCCTCATCAATCATATACCTGGCGGCAAACCATTATCCTACTGGGCACCCTACCAGGTCCTCTACCAATACTATCATCTACCCTACCCTGAGTATCGCCTATGTTTACCTCCACCATATTAGCAAACTTGACCTAAAGCTCTCTGCTGCATCTTTTCTTGGTTATTCATCCTCTCAGAAAGGATACAAATACTACAACCCTACCGCCCCCAACATCGTTATGTTACCTATCACGTCACCTTCCATGAAAATGTCCCCTATTACTCCTCATCTGCAATTCTGGGGGAGATTGAGCTGGAATTCCAGACCAATAACTAGATTGACCAACTTAATATGATTGCCATTGAAGAACCAGATCATATTAAACAAAATCACACCCTTAACCTTGAGACTGTTAATCTCGCCTCCAACCTTAAACTTACCTTACTTGAACCTAACCGCAATACAACAAAACAAGTACCTAGCTAAAAGGGAAACCCTACTCCAGGGGGAGACATAAATCAACAAATGAGGTTCTATACAAGGAGACCAAGGACAAGTAATGAACCACAGATCTC